GGTGGGTGAGTCATTGATACAGTCGGGCAAGCCTACACCGTCTGTCCACAACAGTGCATTTACGGCAAAAAATCGATTGACTTGCGTTCGCTCACGAATGCTAACTGTGCAGGCTTGCTGCTAGCCAGACGTGCAAACAAGAAGCTGACTCAATCGTCCATTGGTGAAAAGTCGTACCGAACTGGGATTGAGTTGATTGGCTACTGAATTTAGGCTTGTAATATCAAATTTCCCGGGCTCAGACATGTTTTCGAGGGCCTGTCCGCAAACGCGTGTGAGCAAAATCTTGTCCGAACTTGGTGTACCGCAGATAGGCTGGTGTCGATGACTCACTCTTGCCTTTCATTGGTCGCTGATCTTGGTTACCTTGACCATAAACAAGGCGAAAGGTGGAACCACTGATGGGTATTCAAAATGAGGCATAAACTATCATGTGACACCCTATGGGGGTGGATGAAGCCGAGACAACGAGAAGAGTCAATTGGTGTACTCGTGAGTGTGAACTCACATACTCGCTACAATGTGATCCGGCCTCCAATGCTTTGCTGCTACGTAAAATTGTGTCTAATCTCAAAAATACCTCCCTGAACCGGTGTAGTAACTAAACAAGCAGTCGATCACGTCGAGACAATGGATTGGGTTGAATGTGGCTCTGCTTCACTTTACTGTTCGTGAATATGTTGACCCACTAGCAGATGGAGGAAAGGCTATAGCGTGGGCCTACCTTGTTTTAAATGATTTTAATCTAGTTATAGTGTTTAAAACGATTTAGGAGCGGTGTTTTGCTTGTGTGGAAGTGGAATTAATCTCGGTATTTTGCACAAACAATGCGAACTCGCGATTCGTCTTGCATCCGTGCCTCTGTCAAGGCATTTCACACCTCAGCTGTTTCATCAGCTAACCTTGAGTTCAAAGGCTTCACATCTGCCGAATAATATTGTCATGAAATAACGATGTCTTACCGTAAACAGGAGCACCTACTGCTGGTTCGTTCTGTCAACTCTAAGGCCAAACTCACAGCGTATTGAGCTAAAAACTCGAAAAAAACACGTTAGCTGTGCCGCCTGTGTGTTCCTGGCTTGAAAGGGGCAGCGGAGGTGAGTCACGAACGGCAAATTACAGTGTGAGTGATTGAAAAAAGAGACTAGAAATTCAGATGCAGATAATCGCGAAACAGGAAAGTGAGGTAAATGTGCAACTTTTTACTTTATATGCCAATAATTACTCAGAAAGTAGTATATCGATTGCATTAAATGTAGATTTTGCATAAATTTGATTAAAACCAGTGCGTAAATTGCGTATTTATTGCCAATATGAGACTGAAGGTGCCCAAAAACAGTGCAGACTACAGAGTTTGGGTTAGAAAGTGGCCGTTCAATTGCGCAGGCGTAAAATGTTTTGACGTCCGCTCGTTCAGACTGTTATGTGAAGTCAGAGGTGAAATCTGGTCCTTTTGTGACGAAAAGATGAAATCCGAGTTCTTTCGGGCATTTATGACACAAATACTTTCTCAACAACTTCAGACGTATTCGCAAGCAAAGCGTTTGTGATAATACCTTCAATTATCAACTGGTCTTCGCCACACTCGGATCTGTTGCTGCAGCTGACTCACCGTGCGGTTGAGTTCAGATCTTGATCGCGATATGACATAACGTAAAATTGACGCGCTGATCGAAGAGCTTGATTCTCGGCTGTGAAATCGCTTGCGATACAGCGCTAGTCGATTACGCAAGTAAGGTAGTAACTTTGGCTGAAAAAAACCAAGCGCAGATGTTCACGAAGGCTGACTTTCAGCTGAAAGAGGGCTTAATATCGCCCTGCAGGTTGCAGACGTCTTCTGTTCTAGGAGGTCCTGACAACGCGCTGTTCTCCGGAATTCTGCTATAGAAGCCGATCCACGGTTAATTAGAAGCCGAGAGCTTAGTTAATTAAACTGATGTCTAATTGTTGTCGGTACCAGCGAATACCATTAGCCTTCACTGTTCATAGGTAATCAGTGATTACGCCCACGCAGGGTTGTAAAATTTCAAACCACTGCAAAACTCATTACTCGCCGAAATTCCCAGTAAGCAGCATCGCTTAATTTTAAAAGGGCCGCCACATTGAATCGATTACGCCAAGTTTGATTAAACAATTCTACATGGTATTCTAAAATGATGCCCTGGGGTTCCAAACAAAACCAGATCGACATCTTAAGATGCTTCGACGATGGAGTCCGCTGAATCATGCGACCGTGTGTGCTGTCGTGGAGTAACACGAGACACTGGGAATTAGTGTTTTATGCAATTTTCATCCCAAACCCTCCAACTAAGGGCATTAATTTCGTAGGTTTGTCGTCAGAACCAGTTTTAAGATTTTGTGCTAGGGTAAACCAGGGCGTCAGTGCGTTCAGGTGAATCATGCAGTTTGATGGCATTGCTGAGGCTTCTCCTGACTATTTCCGTCACACGTCAATCACTGGACACAAAAACCACGGTATTTATCGTTAGTGGTTAAACGACCAAAACGGGACCCGTTTGCAGACAAAGAGATCAATCTTCACTGGCGGATTCTTTGCCCAAGCACGATTACATCTAACGCGGAAGTGAAGTCCGTTGGGCTGACATATTGGTCCACCCTGGCCTCAGCCAGCCCTCTGTCTCTCTGCGATCCAATGGCATGCGAGAAAGATTAGTAGCCAATCAGAGAAGGACACGAATGAGGTGCAGAATATAATGAGCGGCGTGGCCAGCGTGGTGGACTCGGATGGACGATGCCTAGCGTGTGGTTATGGCCTGTGGTTAGTCGGTAGAGCCTTGTCTGTTGCACCAGTCTTTTTCATATTAGGGCTCGGGTATTCTTCAACTGCATTCCACAGCTAATCACGGGTTTGCTCAAGGTCATCCGATAATTACAATTAGCCCCATTAAAAGCCATCAACTTTTGTTTATAAATTATTCAAACTAACAAGGTGATTACAGAACGTTTCGTCATATCCAGATATCATAAATCGTGTTTAAGTAAATTTTACGAATGATTTGGAAGTCTTGCATGAATTTCTATGAACTAAACCGTGATTAATGCGTCTGATGAATGTGTGGTATGGAGGACGGCGGAATGACGATGATTTCATTAAAAAATACAGAGAATTGAGCCTGTTTAGGCGGGTTCCGTGGACACAGATTAGAGTTTAGGCAAATCCGAAAGTCAGTTAGGTGGTTTAATGCGCAAATGAGCTTCGCCAGCACTGTGTGCGAAGCCCCACTCCACCCCCACACTCTGATCGGGCCTTTACGACTTTCTCATGCGCGCCTCAAATCCGGAAGCGCAGAATCATAAAATTGCACTGCGGGTAAACAGTGTTGTAGTGTGAAAACGCAGCCGTGAAGACGCTCGCATCGGATTCACGGGAGCAGCCAGCTACAAGTTCATTGCAAATGCACAGTGGCACTTTACGACCTTCGTGTTAATCTGTCGCGAGCCATGGATTTAGCCCACGAATCGCCCAAGCGCCTCCATAAGCCTCCCCTAAGCGGACCCTTTCGAGAAGCTGCCTTCGATTATGGATTTATCCAGGCAGATCTCAATAGCAACACCTGCTACTACCTCGTTTACCAGGCCCTCAAGGAAGCCCTCGACAGACGAGCTCCACGATGCTGGGTCAAGATCAACCGTCACGAGGTCCACATCACCAACCAGAATCAGCCCTTTGAAGAAGTGACCATCTTCACTGACGACATCGTCAGCTACTACAAGTTTGACTATGGATTTAAATTCGTCGCGCTCTGCATTGACGCGAATAAGCGCGAGAAAACTGGCTACTGGTTTATCAACTTCGACAACCGCCAACAACTCGTAGACTTTTGCATCTACCTGACTTGGATTTTCAGTCAGGATGCGGGATACGAGACGTCTGAGAAGGGCAGTGTGAGCTATTGCGGACGAAAGCTCGTTCACGGACGTGCCAACCCAATTCCACTCATCAAGTGTTGGTGCTGCGGGTCAATTGTGATTGCATCGAAGCCCGACGCAGCCAGTTCAAACGACAGCGGATTCGAGGAAAACCAGCTGGTGAAACCAGGCGTGCTGGTTTCCACTCCACCTCCTTCCCTACCCACAAGATTCGAACATCCTCGTTATTTCAGTCACACAAAAAGGCACTTCAGGAGGTGGTGACACTCTCAACTATTTTTCATGTAAGTACGACGACTTTGAGTTCAAAAAAATATATATTTTACCTTGTTTATACACACAACAATACTGGGTATTTAATGAATAGGACGAAAGAGTTTGCGGTTTCTGATATTTCGTTCTAAATTATTTGTCGTGTTGTAAAAATCGGAAACCCAACATAAAATCTGTGGAAAAGCGATTATGCGGTGGTCCAGCGAAGGGAGAGAGGAAGCGGTTGGGAGGTGATGCTGTAGAGCTCAGCGAATTTTATTCTTTGCGTCGAACCTGATTTGAGTGAAGAGGCGAATTACATGGGATCGAATTTCATGTGGAAAAGTATTCTTCAGCCTTGAGATCAAATTAATAAAATTTAAGGCATCAGTTGAGCGCTTGGGTAGTAAGCCTTAACGATGGACGTTGGAAATCTTTTTAGCAGTTTCAACACGCCTAAGTACTAAAAAATACAGATCAAACGCCACCAGAAAGCATAGTTCATTCATTAGAGGGTAGTACATTGAGAGGGCTTCACAATATTCACGATCAACACAGGCACTAAACTTTCTCATACCCGTTGCAACTTTAAGCGGTGACTACTTCTAACCGCGGTTGATCTAATGGCGATTAGGTGTGTGGGAGAAATTTGGTGAGTCACGTGTTTTGAACGTTCGTTGTTGTTAGCATTTTAGCGCGGTCTAAACGGTTTGAAATAGATAAAATAAGGTACATGCATTGAATGTGATAAGAATACCTTGCTGACCGATAGTGTAGTTGGTGCAGGTTAACTAGTGTCAACGGTAAAACAGTTTTATTGATCTGAAAGTGCTTGAAGCGGCCGAATTGTGTAGATCGGTTGGGCAATATTTTTTGGTGTAACTTACTACTTCAAATGAGCAATCAGTTCTACCAGAATCGGCACAAATTAATCCAACGATTTTGATAAAATCGGCCTTTCCAAGTTTCGATTTGTTGGAATACCACCATTCCAGCCTTATTGATTCAAATCTTTATTAGGAAAGGAACTTGTCCAAAGCAGAACCCATCAAATTTAAGCTGGGAACACACTGAAATTTTTGAGGGAAATGATTAGAAGATTGCTTGAGAGGTGAAGAACTTAGTCACACAACACGAGGGTTCATATTCCCACGATCACCAAAAAGCCGCTACCCACATTCGTCCTTAGAGCAAATTACCATACTAGTTGGGTAAATTCCCTTTCGGGCTTAGATATACTTCTTGTTAAAAATTACTACATTTGAACAATCTCATTCTTGCCGCATTCACAAGAAATTTATGTAGTTTATCAAAACGGCCTAATACCCTTACACTCGAGAGCGCATAAAAGTCCCTTTACATAATTTTAAGATTTAATTGTTAAATACCGCATTACTCCAGAATCAGTTGGCGCCAAATCACATTAAAAATCGATACAATTGCATATGTTAACACTTAAAATAGCACTGGATCACGCACTCTGCCCATATCACGGCTTTCTTCCGTTTGAACCAAATGAAAAATTTGAGGAAATATTTTTGCTCATCACTACTCTTAACAAAACGTGTTGCGACTAAATTAAATCGGACACAGCATCGATATCATAATTAAGAACGCCTTGTAACTTTTTGATCAAGTCGAGGAGCCCCTATGGGTGAACTCGGTGAAATCTGATTGGTCTATAGCGGCCGAAATTAGCACTACCACACAACCCTATAGTTAACAGCCAGTCACAATCCGAGAAGAGGGAAGACAAGGAGTCGACAGAGAGCACGACCGTTTATTCGCGTCACGACCGACAAGTCGAGTAAAATCGAGTAACTAACTTCTGTGTGCGTATTGATGCACGTGCGTTACAGGCGACTGCTA